ATGTTTGCAAAAGGTTTTAATTCCCGGGATCTATGTGAGTAGAGAGTGCAGCACTGTACCTTGCAGTCGAGGGAGAGGTCCTCTCTTGTCGGGCAGTGTTTGATCATTATGGGCTGAGAGGTTAAGTGTAAGACCATTGAGGTTTATACATGAGCTAATCTTGCATCTGCCCACAGTCCATGGGTTTTTATAAGGTGGCTTGACCCAAGGACCATTTAGTGTAAATGTCGGGCCCATTAAGAGCCCATGGTGATGGACTCAGGGTTCACTGTTTCCTACAGTGAATTCGGCTAGGCCTTGTAACAGAGGCTGGGTAGAACCCATGTGGCTGATGTGTAGATCAATGTTTGTGTCCCAYGCCATACAAGGATAGCCAACTGGGTAGTAGTTAGGAGGTTAAGAGAGCACATAGACTTAATGGGCCAATAGCCCAATTCGAACAGGCTTAATAAGACTTATTAATTAGGGGTGGTTCTGGGATTTAGATCAGTAGACGGGATAAGGGATTATCCCTATCCACTCAGAGAGTCCAGATCCAAATAAAGATTTGGATCAGGAAACTCCTAATTTGATTAGGGAGGTTGATCTTTATCTGCAGATAAGATAAGGGGTTATTCTTATCTCTTAAAGAGAGTCCAGATCCAAATACAAGATTTGGATTTGGAAACTCCTAATGAAATTAGGAGATGCTCTTTTTAAAGGCTATAAATAGAGGAGCAGGGAGAACCTCCAACACACAATACTCAATTCACAGGTTACAAAGAGAGAAGAATCTGCAGTTTGACTGCTCTTGTCTTCTACTATTTCCTGCTCTTGTCGCCCCTGTCAGTTCAATCTCCACCTATGGGAGTGATCAAGAAAGGTTCTTGATATTACCTTTTGGTAGAAAAGGTAATCTGAAGTCGTGCTCACCAGCCCTCCATTACATTCTTGCTGAAGAATTTGGTTCTTGCTGAAGAGCCATCCTGCTGATTCTGCTCCACCTCACATTGTGTCATCTTCAGTGGGAGCA